GTGTGTGTACATTAAATTTGACAAACGAAAATACAAATAGTAAGTTCAGATGAACTGGATGTTGATATAAGAGGGTAGTAACAAAAGTGATGAGTTGTCACAAACGATTGTTAAAGAAGAGTTAAGTAATAACGTGAATTGTTTTGATGAAAGAGTTGTGCTCAGGGGGTACATGGAAACAATATAACATATGGAGTTACACAAAAGTTTTAAGTAGTTAGAATAATAAGCATACAAGCAAAAATTAAGTCAAATTAACAGAGTTATTACGATGAGAGTAGAAGTGGTTGAATAATTTTCTTTTGTATGCATAGTTCTAGTTCTTCTAACTAAATGGTTAGGGCTTCTGCAATGCAAAGAAGACGGAAACGTAATGTCTTTGGCAGGTTGTTATTCACTTTGTAGATTATTTTGAGGCAGGAGGCGTTTGTTGAGATGGAATGACCCGTGGTGTTGGGATGTTCGGTGATTGCACTTCTTATACGGGCACTACTTCCTTTCTGCAGCCCCACTGGATAGTGTACTTTGACCCTTTCGACAGGATTTTTGAAAATATTTTTTTCTGATTACAGCTTGATTCCACACCGTATTTCTTGGTACAGGTATGGAATTTTCAGCATGTGATGTCGATAGCCCAAATTTCGCATGCCGACCATAGATACCAGGTGTGTGTCGGCAGGAGATTGACCCCCGAACCATGTGCATGGTCGGCGAGAGTCCTAACCACTGTGTCACCGACGCACACAAAATAGCCAGGGTCAAGTTTGTTTGACGTCCTGGTGATACGTACTATAGGACTGATCTCTAGAAATACGATCTAAGGATGCGCGTCGAACGTCCTATGTACCTGGACCAACAGCTACAGGTGAACTGATAATTACACATAGAAGTGGTCAGGTGCGAGATCTTTTCCTTTGGGCTTCTGCAGATCAGCGGGCAACTGGAGAACACTGAACACCTCCAATTTTGGTTTGGCAATTTATTATTATTATTTATTATTTTTTGCTTTAATTCCTAGAGGAACATAGGGATTCAGCCGTGCGTCTCCATTGCGTTCGGTTCTCTGCTAGAGTCTTCACCTGGCTCCAAGTCTGCCCACACACTTTGATCTCCTCTTCACATGACCTCCTCCAAGTCACCCCACCCTCGCACTGACGACCAACTCGCCGCTTCCCATCCGGTAGGGTTCCACTCGAGCAATGGCTCGTCTAGTGTGATGTCACTTGATGGTTTCCTCAGAGTATGGCCAGCCAATCCATCTCCATTTCTTCCTGCTTATTTGTTTCACAATCGGTTCCTGCTGGGTTGGTTCGCTCCCAGAGATCCCTGTTGCTGGTTTGGCAAAGGTCCGAGTAAAGCTATAAACATCTTAATACTAGCTCATCTTGTGGATACTGGCTGGACATCAAATCGACTCTAACAAGGCTTTTCAAGTTATTTATCGTATATCACCCATCCTCTCGCATGGTCTACGAATACCCTTTTAAATGCAGAAGAGGCAGTTGGAACTCATCTGAACAAGCCAAATCTGTGTTTGTTTTCAAAAGAAATTTGTACAGCCCCTTTCTTTGCCATGGCCAACTACATAATATGTTTTTAAAGACGATATTTTCTCCTCTCCTTGTAACTATCTTTTGACTTTGTTAATTTTACAATCTTCCCAATTGTAGCTAATTTTCTTAACTTGTTTGTATTTGTCGTAACTCTTCTGAGTCATCCTATTCTTCTTAGTCATCATTACTATTTTACAAATTTCTTGATTATGTAATAGCATGTTGCCAACGCCTAAGAATCGACTTAGCTCGAATTCCGTAATTAACTTTAACCCCTCCCCCTTAAAACTTAGGTATCTCGTTACTAACATCTATTAGTTATTTGTTTTGATGACCTTTAACCTCTTAATTTCACCTCTACCTATCCTTAGATATATCACACAGTGTAACAGTGGTATTTACTGGATGACGTTTCGAACAAAATTTATTGTTCATGGTCATATCTATTATAATCACGCGACTTCGAAACTTGAGTTTTCAAAACTCACTGTGTGATATATCTAATAAACAAACTAATATGGCATTACTTACTATCACAGTGCCGAAGTTTTAAACATATATTAAAACTGATTAACTAAAATAATCACTTGATTGGTAAAAACTTTTGGTGTAAAAAACTATATGTTGGTGTAGAGCCGATGATGAGGAACTAATTGACAAAGAATGCATATATCTTCGCCCAATCTGTTGGTTTTTTCTGAAGTCCTTCCATTGATTTAGGAAAGCCTAATCAATAATAATTATATTATTATTGTTCCCTTGGGTTCCTAGTGGAACATAGGGTTTCAACTGCACGTCTCCACTTGCTTCTCTCTTCTGCTTCACTTTTCACCTGCATCCATGTTAATCCATACTGTTTCAATTCCCCTTCACACGATCTTCTCCATGTCACCCTTGGGCGTCCTACTCGCCGCTTCCCTTTCGGGTTCCACTCGAGCGTTGGCCTGACGCGCGATGTCACCCAGCGGCCACCTCAGTGAGTGTCCAATCCATCTCCACTTTCTCCGGCATATTTTTTGAGCGATTGGTTCCTGTTTTGTTTGTTCCCATAGCTTCTCGTTTGTGATTCTTTCTGGCCATCTGATCTTCAGTATAGAGCGAAGACAGATGTTGATAAAGGTCTGCAACCTGTTGGAAATATTCTTTGTGAACCGCCAAGTTTCTGATCCATCCGTATAGAAGAACTGACTCACTTGACGTTTGTATTGAAAATCTGAATTTTGTTGTTGACGCTGAGTGAGCGACGAAGATTTCCAGATTGGTTTCAGGTTGATGAATGTGTTTCTCGCCTTCCCGATTCTCGATTTGACATCCTCGTCCGTTTGTTCCTCCTGTAGTTGAGACAAAGCTCCCTAGATAAGTGAATGAAGTCACTCACCTCTTTCAAATCCCTCCCGTTGATGGTGATTGTCGGTGGATGTTGCTGTTGTTGTTGGTTGGTTATTTTCATAACCTCCGTCTTGTCTATGTTCACCTGGAGTCCTGTCTTCTCTTGCTGCTTCTTCGACCAGTTTGTCGGTTTTCGCTTGTTAGTCTTCGATTTTGTGTGACATCAAACATAAATCATCCACGCGCGAAATCCAGGTCTTCTAGATTATTCACGTCAGTCCAGGATATCCCTGTCTTCTTGTTTCCTACTATCTGACGCATAATCCAGTCCACTACAATTAGGAATATCATCGGTGATAATAAGCACCCTTGTCTGACTCCTGTGTTTACTCCAAACGCTTCACTGAGTTTTCCGTTGTGGATCACTTGACATGGGCCGTTGTCGTACAGCTGTTGAATAAGGTTGATGAATATTTGGGGTAAGCCGTAGTACTTGAGTAGTTTCCAAATTACTTCGCGGTCAACGCTGTCGAAGGCCTTCTCAAAGTCTATAAAGTTGAATTAGAGGTTTGATTGCCATTCCATGCTTTGTTCGATGGCGATGCGTAGAGTTGCAATTTGTTCAGAACATGATTTGCCTTTCCTGAATCCAGCTTGTTCTGGTCGGAGTTCTGTATCCAGTGCGTCCTTTATTCTCTCCAGGATGATGCGACTCAGGATTTTACTTGGCGTCGACAGGAGCAAATTGCTACAGAAACTTCAACGCACAAATATATTAAAAATACTAATTAATTATACTGCTTTATATTTGTATTTTTAACCCACCTATTATAACTTTTCGGCATATCTGAATTCAATCTCCGTGTAACTACTGTCTTTAAACTGTCGTATTACTTAATCTCATTATTTGTTTTTCAAGCTTTGACCAATTATTATTACATTGTATATGTGCTTGCATAAATACGTGGCTATTATTATTATTTTCTCTGTAACTAATTACACAGTTCACCTTTATTTTATCATTATTATTGGCTTTTTTCCGGGTGAGACATCGATCTTCCACAGAACATCTCTGTTTCTTTGATTCGACAATGGGTAGTAACTGATGCCAGCCATGCCTCCAGTTCTTCGTTTGATACCAATCGCTAGGCAAGATGGTTCATCACCAAAGTATCCATTATAGTCCTACAGAAGGTCAATCACGACCTTGAATAGCTCACTGGCAACGTGCCTGACTTCAGCAGTTAGAAACCTGAGTTCGAATCTCAGAAAGGACATCAGTTCCTTCAGGAATGCCTTGCTAATAAATGCCAAAACGTACGAAACTTAGGTTCAGGACTACCTACTGATTGCCACCCACCGTTCATCTAAGAACAATTGAATTTCACTTCATTCTCTGGCGTCACTTTCACACGACTTCACTATTGCCTTTAAGCTTACGTTTCCTCCTCATATGATCTCCTCCATGTCATTTCTGGACACCCAACTTGTCGCTAGCCTTCCTTTCGGGTCTCACTTGAGGGCCTGTCTTGTGCGTTGTGTCATTCAGCAGTCTCACCGGAATATATCCAAACTGTCTTCATTTTTTTCTGCATATCTGTTGGGCGAAAGGTTCTTGTAGTCACTACAACTAATTGATAATATATAATATATTATTTTTATTTGAATATAAACATAAGATCGAATTAGAAACAACACGAAATTGCCCATTTTTTTCAATCAAAGTTTATTTGAAGCGTGTAAGTTAAATGATTAACGAAATCCTCTCCATTCTTAATTATGTCCTACATTAGTGTTATTGTTGTAAAGGATAGTCACCTAAATTCTTCAATCGAATTTACATGGTCATACAATGACCTTTAAATATCTATTGACAGGTATATGTTGATTTTGATTGGCTTATATTTTATAATACCCAAAATGTTGGTCTCTTATTGGCTAATTGAAAGGATAGAATTTATTATTCGATTGGTTAATCTCTGTTATCTATGAAAATTCTTTTTTTTTTTTGTAAGCTAAATTACTTCTGCAAAAGATGATTGTTATCATAACAGTGCGTATTTCTTCGAAAATCGTCGTATTGTAACACAGTAGTACAACTGAAATATCCTCACCGAGATGTTATTACAAATATTCATCACCAGTATTCTAGTGATATCATGGATGAAAGAAAGTCTAACTGATCAACAGACAAGTAAGTAAATGGGAATTATTTGAATAACCTTTTTACTTTTTACGCTTACAGTTATTATTAACCATTTTCATATATTCATTCTAAACTTTTGTCACAGATTGATGTCAGTTAAGAAATTACTGAAAATCAGTGGGTATTGGACAATAGATGAATGGTGCAATCGCTGGGTTTGAAACCTGGGGCTACTGCGTTCGATCTCTGGTGAGATCGAGGATATAAAATCCTCCCAGTATTCCTTGGTTTTCAGTGATCCTGTTATCTGTGTCATTTCGTGATGGGATGTTTACTGAAATAAACCGAATGTCTAAAACTCCGACAGCTAAATCTACTTTCAGCTTGATTATGAAGGCGAAAACATTGCAGCGATGATCAACAGAAGGCTGAGCACATCACTAGCCATAGCCTATCCTGCAGCTAAGCTCGCTCCCGTGAATCGAACAACTTGCTCTTTGGTGCAATCGAAAATCGATAGATATCCTTCTCATGTTAACTCCAACTGTATATACAAATTTACATGTATCTGCGGGAGCAGTTACATTGGAAGAACAGAAAGAAGGGCATATCTACGATTTTCTGAACATGTACCGAAAAGCTTATTTCTAAAGGGAACAAATGCTTTAAACAGTGCCATCGCCAGGCATCTCCTCGACATGGGTCATGAGGTGGACGTCTAAAAGTCGTTCAGAATTACCAATAAGCAAAAGAGCTCAATTCTCCTCAAGTTTGATGAAGCTATCTCCATCAAGCGCCTGAAACCTGACTTATGCGTTCAGAAAGAAGTGGTTATCAGTCTTTCTTTGCCCTGGTAACTGGATATTTTTCATCCGAATGCGAGATGCTGAAAAGTTTTCATTGTGTATGATTATTATTGTTCGGAACAGTTTTAATATTGCATATATATGTGTATATTATTAGTGTATTCGTATATTGATCGATTGCTTTTTGTTTAAAATGAACTCTGTGCAAGTATATTAAAATTGTTTTTGTAGATACATTTAATAATGTCTTTGCCCTGAAAGCAGAAGACGAGAAGGCAACGACATAAAACTTTAGTTCTTGCTTTGTTCAAACTCTCGTTTACTGTATATATACTATACACTACTCAAGAGTCTTTAAATAAGCTACAAACCCACTGTTGAGAAGCTTTTACTAGGTGGCTAATTCCAGTTCATTAATGACCGAACTGTCTGAGATAACTTTGGAATGGAAGACTATAATTTATACAATGATGGAGAACTAAGAGTTCAATAAAAATCTGGAAAATAGAGGCTCTTTGGACTATTAGGCTACTGCTCTACCTGATAGACTATTATCATCAGTATCAAGTATAGGGCTCCAGCGGCAAATCTCCATCCCATTCCGTAGTCTGAAGCCTTTTGTAGTTACCTCCAACATGGCCTTTAGGCTATCATCTCCCCAATGTCACCCTCAGATCCATATCCAACTCATGGTTTCCCATTTCGGCTTCGCTCGAGGGCATGTCTTGTGCGTCGTGCCACTCAATGGCCTCCTCAGTGTGTGTCCAAACTATCTCCCTTTTATTCTGCATATTTGTTGGGCTATCGATTTTGGTCGGTTGCCTGCCGCCCAGAGTTTCCTGTTGCATATGCTTTCAGATTATATGATCTTCATTATGGAGTGAATGCAGGTATGGGATAAAAGTTCGCATTAGCCAATTCCGAATGCTTTCAGTGAAGCACCAAATCTCTGTACCATACAGAAAGGCTAATATGGCATTGGTGTTGGAAATTTGAATTTTACTCATTATACTTAGTGCAGCAGATTTCGAGACTGATTTCAAACTAATGAAGTCTGTCTTGCTTTTCCGACCATGTCTGACTTTGGTTGAAACGATGTTACCTGCGTGAAAGAAATGAGTCCCTTCGAATTTCCCCCTTTTCTGATGAGTAGTACTCGTTGTTAGTCATCTTCTTCACCTCTGTCTTCTCCACGATCACTTGAATAAGTGTCTTCACTGGATTCTTCTTCTTCTACCAACTTGTTGGTTTTCGACTTTAAATCTTCGAGTTTGAGTGACATTAGGTACAAATCGTCCGTTGAGCTACTTGAAGTAGATTCACACTGATTGGTTACTTGGGAATAATCATGGTCATAAATCTAGTTCTTAGTATTGGTATTGACTGAATTCCATCAAGAAATCAATATCTCTATTAAAGTTTTCGAGGTTAATCTTGAACCCGAATGTCTCAGTACTGACGTAAGTGTCTTCAGAGCTGGGTGGTGCAAATCTGAGTTTTCGATGGAATATGACTTCCCGTGAGATTTCAGATACGTCTAGCTGAGGATTACCAATAAGTTTAAAGCCAAGATGCAGGGCTTCTAACGGGCTGGCAAGCATAAAGAATCATTCACTGGTTTGAAGGGACGGTGGCAATCCTCTATCGACATGAAAGGGATTTATTTTTTCCTCACTTATCTTCGCTAATAGGCTATCCTCACAAAATAACAATAATATAAAGCTTACTCAAAGAAACTATTCAATTTGCTTGATGACTCTAATATAGGTCACTTTTTCAAGGTTACAACCACCTCTAGGTTACACTGTATCCCATTCTTGAATAGGATTTCGCAGATGACCTATGTTTGATGTCACACAAAATCGAAGATTTACAAGCGAAAACCGACAAACTGGTCGAAGAAGCAGGCAGTGAAGACAGGACTCCAGGTGAACATAGACAAGACGGAGGTTATGAAAATAACCAACCAACCAACAACAACAGTAGCAGCAGCAACATCCACCTCCAATCACCATCAACGAGAGGGATTTGAAAGAGGTCACTTCATTCACTTATCTAGGGAGCATTGTCTCAACTACAGGAGGAACGGACGAGGATGTCAAATTGAGAATCGGGAAGGCGAGAAACACATCCATCAACCTGAAACCAATCTGGAAATCTTCGTCACTCAGCCTGCGTCAACAACAAAATTCGGATTTTCAATACAAACGTCAAGTGAGTCAGTTCTTCTATACGGATGGATCGGAAACTTGGCGGGTCACAAAGAATATTTCCAACAGCCTGTTGCAGACCTTTATCAACAACTAACTGTCTTCGCTCTATACTCAAGATCAGATGGCCGGAACGAATTACCAACAAGAGACTATGGGAACAAACAAAACAAGAACCAGTCGCCAAACAAATATGCAGGAGGAAGAGGTGGAGATGTATTGGACACTCGCAGAGGAAACCGCTGGGTGACATCGCGCGTCAGGCCATCGCTCGAGTGGAACCCGAAAGGGAAGCGATGAGTGGGACGTCGGTGCAAGGGTGACATGGAGGAGATCGTGTGAAGAGAAAGTGAAACAGTATGGATTAATATGGATGCAGGTGAAAATTTCAGTAGAAGACAGAAGCAATTGGAGACGTGTAGTTGAAGCCCTATGTTCCACTAGGAACCCGAAGGAACAATAATAATAATCAGACTGTCCCAGTTCTTTTCTGTTTTTTGTCGTTTTTCTTGCTATCTGTCTAATTTTTTAAAATTTTATTTTGTTCATTTAGCTCAAGAAATTATTATTAATCAGACAAATTCAGCTTCGCATAAAAATATTACAATACCACATGAACAACAAGTTTATAGATATATTATGAAAAATTATGAATTATGCGTTAGACCATTAAAAAATATCTCAGAAAAATTAATCGTTAAATTATACATACGATTACAACAGATCAGTGGATTAAATGAACGTAATCAAGTGTTAACAACTATAATGTTTCTTGAACAGGTCAGTGTTATTTATTTATTTTTTTGTGAAAAATAAATAACTTCTGTTTCCATTATTATTATTTCCTTTAATTCCTGGAGAAAAATAGGGCTTCAGCCGTGCGTCTCCACTGCGTTCGGTTCTCTGCTAGAGTCTTTATCTGGTTCCAAGTCTACCCACACGTTTCCATCTCCTCTTCACATCACCTCCTCCATGTCACCCTTGCACTGACGACCAACTCACCGCTTCCCTTTCAGGTTCCACTCAAGCAATGGCTTGTCTAGTGGTGTCATTTGATGGTTTGTTTCCTCAGAGTATGGCCTCCAATCCATCTCGATTTCTTCCTGCCTATTTGTTTCACAATCGGTTCCTGCTGTGTTGGTTCGCTCATTGTCAGAGATCTCTGTTGCTGATCTTTTCTGGCCAGCCATCTGATCTTGAGTGGTATTGAGCGAAAACAACTGTTAATGAAGGTCTGTAGTTTGTTTGAGATGCTCTTTATGACGCACTGATCAAGTCTCTGATCCGTATAGTAGCTCACAGAATATCATGCCGGATCGGTCGGGGCCCGGATTAATAACCACCGCGCTTCCTGCTGCCGTGTCACAGGGCAGAAGTGATAAATATTCTTCTGAGACACAGCAAACAAGAAAGAACAAACAAAAACAGGCCGCGTATGACCGGCCTCAAGCAGTTGTTGTCTCCTGGGCTCTGCGGTCACGCAACACTGACCTTCTCTCTCGTCCCTTCTGTTTCCAAGTTATATCATAAACTGAAATCTGTTAGAAAATTATTGAAAACCAGTGAAACAATGTGCACTTGTTTCATCCTAGTTTAGGATCGTTCGGATGTACTCACCTATCAGCCTACCTCGGATCGAGTTCAAGATGATCAGGTTACAAGGCGAATTCAGTGATCATTCCGCCATGTGTTTGTAATCGAGTGTTAATAATAATAATCTACTTTATTCCAAAAACAGTACTTATTATACAGAATGGAATTCTCAGTATTTGTCACAATATTGCATCTGATTTACTCAAAATATAAATAAAATTAAAAATTAAAACAAAATTAACCAGAGGAATTTGTCCACATTTACGGTATAAAGTCAAAAATAATAATAACAGTGAGTTTGTTTCAAACAGTATTGTCGATTCATTTTGGAAATTTTAGCATGTTAAAGAGGAATTGAGTCTAATGTTCTGTTGATATAGCAGCATGGTGAGGGGAAATACAAAAATTAACAGTTATAACACAGCTTAAATGATGATTCACACTTATGAAAAAGATATGAATCAAAATAAAAAATTGAGAGGATTATAAAACTAAGAAAACAATAACAATAAAGCTTGATGTTATAAGAGTGGAGAAAATGGTTTATTTAGTGGTGCTAAGAAGGTTAGTTAGTTCATGCCTGACACTATTTTCATCACATAAAGTACGTGCTAAATATGGTATAGTGGAATTTGATAAAGCTATTAGCATTAAATAGCGAAACGTCAGTAAAAACAATATCGTTTTGTTTTTCATTCATTGGGAAATACAAAAACCTTTATTATAATGGTATAGTGGAATTTTTATACTTAGACCTGCACGCATAAAGTCTTCTGAAAAGACTTCTTGTTTTGCCTGAGGGGAAACAAGGTTGGAGCTGTGGGGACTGAGGTGGATGCTCACAGTCTGACAAAATTCCTTTAGAAAATTTGTTGCATGAAATCAAGTGCCTATCAGTGATAATGTCAACTATATGGCCAAATGGGATACCAACAATCGCCCTACTGACAGTCTTCAGAGTTCTACGAAGTATGACATAGTCCTTTTTAAGCAATCCAGGAAAGAATAATGGTGAACAGTAAAGAAGAGTAGGTAAAATACACGAGTTGACAAACTGTAAGAGGCGGGGTTAAGTTATGCCTGAGTGCCTTAACTTCTTAATGTAAAACGTCAGACGAAATATTTTTTTAGAAATCGCTAAGACATAGGAAGACCAGGATAGGTCAGAAGAGAGAACTAATCCAAGATACTTAACTTCGGACTTGCTTTCTATATCAGTATCATCAATTTTGCAAGGACCATAGGAACCAGCGGTTTCATTTAACTTTCGTTTACATCGGAAACTGAAATTAGCGGTCTGACATTTGGAAGGATTAAGTTTAAGGTTGTTAGACGAAGACCATTTGCTAATTCCTGATAGAAAGTTGTTTATCTTAGTGCAGTCAAGCTAGAAGTTAACAGATATTGAAATAGTTAGACCATCTGCATACTTAACAAAGTTCGTTTCATCAGAGTGAGGTAAGTCATGCATGAAGAAAGAAAACAGAAAAGGAGAAAGGACAGCGCCTTGAGGGACACCAGCCTCACTAAGCAATGAAGTGGACTACTTTCCCTGACATACAGTGTTCTATGAATCCTCACACTTCTTTCAATTTGTGATATAAATATATCACTATTTTTGTTCACTGTCATCAGTGATTATTTCTCCTGAATCTAGACACAAATGGTCACAATTTCTCACTAGAACTCCAGATAAATTCATCCTGAATTCAGTCACTAGTGAGTATTCAGTTTATTCATTATAATTACCCCCTTGAGTTCCAAGTGGAACATAGAGCTTCAACAACACATCTACACTTTGTTCTACTTTCTGCCGTCCTCTTCAGCTGGCTAGCTCCACGATTGCCCATAATCTATCATCTCCTCCTTGTGTCACCCTCGCACTGACGACCCACTCCTCATTTCCCCTTTCGGATTCCACTCGAGTGATGGCGTGGCTAACGCACGATGTTATTCGCCGGTCTCCTCAGTAGCGTATGCCCAATCCATCTCTATTTTCTCTTACATATTTGTTGAACGATCGGCTGTCACCTGTTGGTTTGTAGGAGGCCAGAGTTTCTTGTTGCTAATTGTTTCTTTCTGGCCCGCCTGCCTGTCTGCCTGCCATTTCATCTTCAGTATGGAGCCAGCCATCAAAGGTGGCAACTGTTGATAAAAGTCTACAGTGACCTGTTGGAGATCCTGTTCATGACACGCTGGTCCAGATTCTTAACCGTATAGAAGAACTGACTGATTGACTGACTTGCTTCACATTTGTGTTGAATAGAATCCAAATCTTGTTCTGGATGCTAACTCCTGAGAGCAGAAGATTTCTCAACTAGTTTCAGGTTGGTTGATGAAGGTGTATCTTGCCTTTCCGATTTTGGCTGTCTGACTTTGACATCTTCATCCGTTCCTCCTGCAGTTTAATCGATGCTTACTAGATAAGTGAAGGAGGCAAACTCTGTCACATCTCTCCACTGATATGGATTAGTGCTGTCTGCTGTTGTTGTTGCTGGTTAGGCGGTCGGTTATCTTCATCACATCTTTCCTCTTTATGTTCTCTATGTTCATTGGCTGCTCCTTCAGCCAGTATGTTGGTTTTCGCCTGTAAGTCTTCGAGTTCATGTAACATTGAGTAATCGGTTAAGTGCGTATAATTCAAGACTGTAAAATTAATCTGATGCTCACTACTGGCGGAATACAGGATGAAGATGACTAGATTTCTAGTGAGAAATGGTAACAAGTAGGGTTCAACTAGTCGGGTGTGAGGACAAATATTCACCAATGACACTGGCCGATAGTGACAATATGTAACGAGAATTGGTAGGAATTAGAATTTATGCACCACTGAAATACATTCACATGAGTGCGAATGGCCAACGGGCTAGCCTTGTAGCACAAAGCTTCTGAGTTCATTTCCTGGTGATATGATAGGCATAAAAGGCTAAAGAGACTCCAAATTTTTTTAATTTTTTTAAATATTTTGATTACAGCTTGATACCACACCGTATTTTTAGGTACAGGTGTGGAATTTTTCGCATGTGATATCGGTAGCCCAAATTTTGCAGGCCGACCATTGATATCGGGTGTTCGTCGGCAGGGGGTCGAACCCCGAACCATGTGCATGGTCGGTGAGAGTCCTAACCACTGTGCCACCGACGCACAAATGGCATGGGATGGCTGTCAATTACTCTGTGGTTACCAATAGTTCACTAAATGATGTCAGCCCATGATCCAACCTGAAATCGATACTTAAAAATTGCTGTTTTAAATATTACTTGGATGATTAGGTGGCTAGCTAACAGTGAAGTCCAAGATTCGTCCCTTTTAAGACGCATCAGCCGAATGTACATGAATCTCTCTAAATATTTTTATGATTGTCGGATGTTTGGGTGACACTGGACACTCATACTGGATCCTTCAAACCGAAAGTACCTATTTTACTGTTCGTAAGCTCGAGTAGAGTGACAGCTTGACCTTTCAAAATACGAAATATCTTCTTCTGTCAAATTCGTTAGACCGAAACTTGTGTATATTTAACTACAGAGAACTTCCCTTTCAACAAAAAGTGATAGGTTAGTGTAACAAATGGTGACAGTGCTTAACCATTCACCCTCCAATTAACCAGTTTATTTATACAGTGAAGGTCAGAACTCAATGTTGAGTACCGGTAAATCTGTAGGCTTTTATTGATTGCCTCAATGGGACTCCTCGCGTCACATTCTTGATGAATACAGTTCTTGTATTGGACAGTTAGATGTAGGTAATCAGCAGGAAGCCCAAGAGGTAGGTTTCGTGCACACTGTCACTTTTCAAACAAGGGCTATCGACAACCTTGAAACGACATATATTTCCTATGAGATTCGAACCATCGTCATCCAGTGTTGCAGTCCGAAACGTCACCGCTGAGCTATTTGAGCTAGTCTCAAATGTTGAGTTTGTGAAGGTTTCTATTAATTTAAAGATATACCTATGGTATTTTCAACTGTGGGTACTGGGTTCGAGTCTCAGTGGGAATACCACTACTTACTCACTGAGGAATGCAAGTAAATCCAGTTGATGAGTCCCAGATAAGACGAAATACGCTTCCTGACGGAACACTTCAGTCCAATCAGCCAATGGGAAAGTTCAAATTGAATTAAATTATACGTTTATATTTTTATTGTCAGATATGGGAAGATGTTTATTTAAAATGGAATGAAACGGAATTTGGCAATGTAAGAACTTTACGTATACCAGCTAAACAAATATGGACTCCAGATACATACGTATTTAATAAGTAAGTTTCTTTCACATATTTATGAATTCAAGGTCTGTGTTAATACTTATTATCAGATCTCTTCTTTCTGATTGGTCAATTTGGTTCCACTCTGTTATTAATTTTATTATTATTACTACTCATGCTTGCGTTCAGAACGCCTTCATCCCACCCGATTCTCTGGCATCTACTTCAACTGGCTGCAACACTGCCATCTTCAGATTATCTTCTCCATGTGACGCTCGGACGCCCAACTCGTCGCTTCTCATCCAAATTCTATACTATGGACTGGCGTATGTCACTGGGATGTCTAAGGACACATCCAGTCCACTTCTATATCCCTCGATACATTTACTGGATAACAAGATGTTATCTAGTCAACTGCCAGAGTTCCTTGTAACTTGATCACACTTTGAAGCTCATCATCTGGTCATCATTATCGATGGAAGGTGGTAGCTGTTGATGAACGTTTGCAGCCTATTGGTCACATGTACATCAAGTTTGTGGATCATAAAGAAGCAGTGATCTACTTGAGATAAGAGGGTTAAGAATTCCGGGGCTGTTCTTTGTGCTGAATACTGTAGAACTCCACGCCAAGTTTTACAGTTATGCTTGTCTGCCTTCCTCTCCCTGTCCTGATTGCCCTTAACATTCTCATCTGTGTCGCCTGTAATTCAAATTATGTTGTCCAGTTTATTTAAGTGTAAGCGATGACTCCTTTTAGATTCCTCTCACTGATAGACATTAGTTTTTGTCGTTATTCGGGTATCTTTACCATCTCTATCTCCTCTATGTTCACCTAAAGTCCCGTCTTCACTGCCCCTCCCGATAACATGTTGCCTTTCGCTAGTAAATCTTCGAGTATGCGTTTCGATTTTATTTTAGGTGGAATTATTTTTAAGCATCTCATTGGATAGTTTTTGTTTAGTTTACAGTCTAGTCTACTTTCATGCAGGCTTTCAAACAGTTGTAACCAGAATAAAAGTTATCGTGAATGTATTGAATACTATTTTGAATGGTTTCTCAATAGTTCAGCGCTAGAGTCATCACCAACTACGCAGTTGGTGCAAGTTTACCTCCCAACTAAGGCACTACTGAACATCGACTATTTTACTAGCCAACAGTATGCCAGGAAAAGAAGAAAGTTTTGGGCGTGAGGCTACCAACTCCATCTCATGAGAAATAAACAACTTCGTCAATGAAACTTCAAGGCTTACAGGCTGAAGTCCTACGTTCCACTTTTCGTTATCATCCATTCTTAGAGTTTTCATTATTGAACTATACCCAACTATTTTGACTAATCCGAACACTCATTTGCGTTGATTCGTTTAAATATGGCAAGAGCGAAAATATATGTAGGGCGAAGACAGCTCACCTTATTTCACAGCTGTTCTTTATCCGTATTAGAATATTTAAATGTACCAACTTGAAGTGTATTAACTAAATAAATGTTGATTAAATTTCATTTCTCTTAGACTTAAAAGCAAATAATTTTTTAGTGCACTTAAACGGAATTATTGGTGGAACCTTATTACTAAGAGTTGGTTGTATTCCTCTAGATTACGTAATCTTGCGTTGGTAGTTCAGTGGTAGAATACCCACCAACCACATCACACATGGTCTGCGGTCCAATTCTCGGTCACCGACTTACTCCTAAGCCTCACGTAACTGGTAAGCTCGGTAAAAAGTGGAAGGTTGGGTGTGAGGACAACAGCCCTAGTCAGTAAAACACAAAAAATTTACGGAAACTTTAAGCCCCCCCTTTATTCCAGTCTGAACACAAAGGAATGGAACAAATAATAAATTGAATATTCCCATAATTTATTCAGAACAAAATATTTAGAGCGAACAATTGTGGTTTCAATAAATTCTTCTTCTTCAGGCTCTACAATTATAAATCCATTAATTTAAGCATACAATAGCCAGTAAAGGCAAATGAGAATCATACAATAAAGCCAACAAATCCTCCATTAACACTATAAATTCCTTTCACAATTTTCTTTCCTTTTTTTCTTCTTCTATTACTCTGTTTCATTGGCAAACGTTCATTTTCGACTTTTATGATTTCATGACCTTTCTTATGATTTTATTACCTTAGGTTTAAGTAGTGCTTTTCTAACTTGCTATCGTATTTACAAAATCCTATTCATTCCACTTCATTATATTCATTATTATTATTATTTGACAATCATTCACCAATAGTGCTTGTAATTTTACACCATATCATCGTTATTATTTTACTGTCGTTATTTTCAACCTTGAACTTATGTCTAGTCCGCCCCATTCGTTGGTTTATTTTCATATTGTCTCACACACCCTGATTACACTCACTCTCGAATCCTGTATTTCTCTGTTGACTATATTTATATATATAAATATATACATCATTAAATTAAATTACTTCATCTCATTTTGTCCCATGTTCTCATTGACTATGCATATTAAAAAACTATCTGACTATTGTTCCATCTCATCTGACTTATACTTGTTCCACAATACACTTTCTGATATGATTCTAATTTGCCTTTACTGACTGGCTATTGTATGCTTAAATTAATGGATTTATAATTGTAGAGCCTGAAGAAGAATTTATTGAAACCACAATTGTTCGCTCTAAATATTTTTCTCTAAATAATAAATTGCCTAATCTCTCTGTGTAGCCGTAAAATTCCCTATATGCTGCAGTTATTGGACATTTATGACGCTTTTTGTATTTCCCAATCCTTTGTTAGTACTGCACTCTTATTGGTCGATGAGTCTTTTAACTTAGTAGTGAACTTTGGATTTGTCGGTGTCATCTAAAATACACATGTATTGGGCATCGCCACTGACTATTCAGAGTGTTATTTGGGACAGTAGAGGCTTTTGTATTAACGGTTCGTATTTAGTCATTTTTTTAATGTTAAGGCTGTGGTTGTCGTTGCGATTAAGGATTAGAGTAGGTTTCATTGATGTAGTAGATTCGTATTGCTCATTGTCGTAGTGTTGTCATAAAAATGAGTGATAATCAATGTGTGATTATTAAGTCTTGATTGTTTTCACACAGGTTGGTATCAGTTACTAGGTTAATCTAGAGTAACATATGCTGCATATGCGCCTTACTGATATTTATCAACAAGCCGCTGACTGGTGACATCGCTAGCTGACAGAAAAATTCTGTATTCATGAGAGATTACAATTTAACCACGTGCTTGAATTATAATACGCTCACTCCGTAACCATTAGACAGTGAATTTCATCCAGTGTGGAGCATTCAGCAGGTACTACTGAAAAGTATCAAATTAGGCCGTTCCATGACTTTCAATATTTCTACACCTTTTTCATTTTTTCATATTTCATTGCTCTGCATTCCGAATGGAATATAAGACTACAAGGTTGAACTTTCAGGTTCCATTAGCAGTGTTGTTGTTTTCACGGTGTGTGCTTGTTGGCTTCACGCTAGCCCAACTTATTCTCCTTAGCGGACTTTCTACCGACTAGCTGAGGTTTAAGAGTAAGTCGGCCGGGATTCGAAACCCAGATCACATGCTTGACTGGCGAACCACCGATGCACTTATACAATAAATTATTATTTATTATTATTGTTTCCTTCAATTCCTAGAGGAATATAGGGCTTCAGCCGTGCACGTCTCCATTGCGTTCGGTTCTCTGCTAGAGTCTTCACCTGGCTCCAAGTCTGCCCACACGCTTTCATCTCATCTTCACATGACCTCCTCCAAGTCTTTCTTGCACTGTTGACCAACTCGCCGCTTCCCATCCGGTAGGGTTCCACTCGAGCAATGGCTTGTCTAGTCATGTCACTTGATGGCCAATCCATCTCAGAGTATGGCCAATCCAATCCACCTCCATTTCTTCCTACCTATTTGTTTCACAATCGGTTCCTGCTGAGTTGGTTCGCTCATTGCCAGAGATCTCTGTTGCTGATCTTTTCTCACCAGCCATCTGATCTTGAGTATTGAGCGAAGACAACTGTTAATGAAGGTCTTTAGTTTGTTTGAGATGCTCTTTATGACGCGCAGTGCAAGTCTCTGATCCGTATAGTGAGTAGCACTGACTTGACATTGGAGTTGAAAATCCGGATGTTATTTTTGATGCTGAGTGCTGTTGACCTCCACACAGACTTGAGAGAAGTGAAAGCTTGTCTTGCTTTTCCGATTGTTGCTTTGATATCCTCGTCAGTTCCGCCTGTAGTTGAAACGATGCTTCCCAGGTGGGTAGGTAAAAGAGGTTGTTTCTTTCAGGTTCCTTCCATTTATGCTGATTGTTGTCTGTTGTTGTTGTTGCTGTTGGTGGTGTTGGCCAGGAATCTTCATCACCTGCCTCTATTTTCTCTATGCTCACCTGAAGTCCTATCTTCTCTGGATGCTTCTTCTGCCAACTTGTTGGTTTTTGCTTGCATATCTTCCAGTTTGTGGGGAATCAGAAAAATTTCATCGGCGAAGTCCAGATCCTCCAAGTTTTTTGTGCGATTCCATTTTATGCCTGTTTGCTCATTGCCTGCTGTTTTTCGCACTATCCAGTCTACTGCAATGAAGAAAATCATTGGCGATAGTAGGCAGCCAGCTTGTTTTACTCCTGTATTCACTTCGAAGGATTCCGTAAGTTTCCCGTTGTGGAATACTTGGCATGCAGCATAAATGATACAGTGCAATAAATGATACATCTTAATTCAAAACTCCGGGAAAAAGGATATACCTGTAAATTACTTAGATTTAATCTTGAAATTTATAGGTATAAAGGGGAGATACTTCACTTTCAGAATACTAATTGGCCAATGTACTAATTCGTGCTGTATTTGAAAACTTCTTTGCACTATAAAGCCAAAATGGCGTGACTATAGTTTCTATCGAATTATTTTGAAGGCATCTAACACTTTTCTTGTAATTTTAATGAGTTTTCAGAAGTAGTGGCGGCAATAGTAGTACTCTGTTTGAAGTCGTTCACGTTAAAAACACGTCTTGCATGGATCAGGTCATGAGTCGCAGTTAAAGGATGAGGCTTGAACAGACGACCTAGTTGTT